CGGAAATCATTCGTTCACACAGACTATGAGAAGCGTTAGCCGATCATGCTGGGTCCCCCGGCAGAGTAATATTTAACTCACACCGCGTACTTGCAATACACCCCATCCGAAGAGAAAGCCCTGGCCATTTATGCAGATAGTTCACAAAACGAAAGGGATACAGGTTGCGCCTACTGTGAACTCTAAGGAAAATAAGTAGTAAAAATTTGGAAACGACGCCTAGAAGGGAAATATTCCCTCTTTCAGACAGAGCTTCTTGCGCTAAAACCATCAATCAACTTGATCAAATTTCATGTAGCTGAAAAGATAACTGTATTTAGCGAAACAGCCTCAGGCTAGGAGGCAATTCGAAGCAAAGAAGTAGGAGTTCAATAGTACAGAACAGACAAAAAATTCATCTAAATATCCCAATAGATGATAGACCCGATCTGGTCTGGGTTCCTGCTCATGTGGCAATAGCGGGGAAAGAAGTGTCAGACTTGCGAGCTAAATTTGCAGCTAAACGATCATAATCGACTCGAAAACCCAGTAAGCGTGTAAACCAGCAACCAGTAAGCGTGTAAACCCAGTAAACCGGGAAAAAAAAAAAAAAAAAAAAAAAGATGGGATGGTGAAAATACAGGAAGAAAGACTTACCGGATCTTCTCAAAAGTTTTACGTATTACAAAGACACATACACAGTGGTGCACAGACCCAATTTTATACGAATCATGCTCTATTCCTACACTTCTTTCAGAGATTTGGAAAACGAGACTCAGGCTCATGTTAATGCGAAGAGCTAGGTGATCCAGATCACTACCTTTTTAATCGTCCGAACACAAAGAATGAGCACCCAAAAATTCCTAGCACTGCCTATTGGCCGCAATGGTATGAGAATACATGTGAAAAAGAGCAGAGCAAACATAAGATTGAGAGCATTATCAGACTCTGTGCAGTAAAATATTAAAAATGAGAAAGCTCTAGCAGTTTCAGCACAACATGTTTGCTCCTTGCAAGGGAGAACAGTGCTTCGACTTAACATTCTTAGGGGAACTGCAGCCTAGTGAAAGCTGTACCAAACAACACTAACGCTCAAGGTTTGGTACAGTAACAATGATACTTCCTTTACAACTACCACACCCTCAATATTAGTTGCAATAACTTGGCGTATCACCACAAAGGTACCAGGAATATTAGTCTAGATTCATCACTTTATGAGTTAGCGATGTTGAGCTACAAACCACTGAGATGTAGCATAAGTTGATCAGTTCATAATGCAGTACAGAAACACAGCATTATAAATACAGGCACTTACGTGCTACACATTTAATAACCATCACTACTAACCAAAAACTGTATCTTGAAAAATAAGATCAGGATTATTCATTCGAATTTGACTCGGTTTTAAAAGTTCATAAAAAACTCCCGCTCTCAACAACATATCTATCCTTTCTGGAACATTAAATCCTTCATCTACTAATTTTAAATTAGGAAAATCTTGCACTGAAATTTTAATTTTGCGCGAAGGTATTAAATCAGCAGTTATTTTTGGAATTGCTAAAAAGTCCAAATTCTTTATAAAAGTTCCTTCTTTATTGCATATCGAAGCATTAATTTTATGCTTTATTGTCAAAGTAACATCATTTATTCCCGAAACCGAAATGTTTGTTTTTTCTTTCCCTAACTGCAAAAGCTCAATAAAATTACGTGTCAAAAAGTTCGATATACTGCCGCCATGCAACAGACACTTCACTCTGTGTTTTCTTCCCTCGCTATCAATTAAAAAACATACGACGGTTAAAAGCAAAACTGTACTCTGTTTATTCGAATAATTGCTAATAAATGCCTTTTGTACGAACTCCTGAGCATTAACATTCGAGGTTGATGAGTCATCTCGTTTGGGGGATGTTACAGTCAGATACATTTGTTTTGTTTTTATTTTGTTCCGATGAAGAACATTCTTTCTCCTTTACGATATTTGCTTTCGGAAAATGAATAGTTTTGTGGTGCCGTTTTAGACAAAAACAAGAATATTTCGATGGGCAATTTGATACTGAAAGCATATGTAGACAGTTAAAACATAATTTATTAGACTTCACAATCTGTACTGTTTCTTGTACCGGTAATTTTAAATACGATGGGCATTTTGCCAAACCGTGATTCCCAAGGCATAAAATACAAAATACAGCTCTCTGTTTTAACATCTGACAAAAACACTTTAGCTACACCTTTTGAGCTGTTATACTTAAGATTAACATGATAATTCTCAGTAAGAGGTTTCCCTCGTGACGTGAAATATAAATCTATTTCTGTACCTAACTCACTAGGTGAAAACCATGAATCACCTTGCCTCACTGCAATGTGAGAAGCTGTTCTCGTGTCTAAAGATTGGTATAACCTGTCTGGAACTGAATATAATCATTCTGAAAGTTGCTTGAGGGTCTCGAAGTCAGTTATCTTCCTTAATTTTAAATAACAATCCCAGGTAGTTACTAAGCGTGAAGCGAACTGCACATGAGTTTCATGTGGTTGTTTAACAGTTTTTCTAAAGTTTTCTAAACACGAATATGATGTTGGCTGAAACTCCTTCAGAACTATTTCTTTTACTTTTTCATAATTCGCGATATCCTTATCATGTAAATTGGTTATTATATTCGAAGCTTTGTCTCCTAACAGATTTAACAGAATTTCTGCTTTATAATCCTCCGAAACATTTTTTTTTGTAATAAACGCTCGTTCTAATGACGAAAAGAAAAATCCCCAACTCTCAGGCCGTATAGGAATTTTTACGTTTAAGGTTCTGATACTTTTTATTAATTGATCTAGTGACTCTGATTTTGTTTCGGTTTCGCTTAAACCATCAAGTTTTAATTTTCTGCTTTAAGCTTAGATAACTCATTCTTTGATCTCTCAAGTTTTATTTGTTCTAACTCGACAAGTTTTTGCTGTTTTTGCTCTACTTGTTTTCTTTTTTCGATAATAGAGTTTGCTATCTCTTTAACTAAATGTTGTTTAATTTTAAAGATTTCACTATTCTCAATAATATCAGTTAAATCTGCTTTTGTCATTTTTTCGTCAACATTTAGATTTATTTCTGATGAGCCTTAAATCTTCTTTTTTAGCACCCTGAAATAACATTGTTATTTATAAAAGAACAAAGCACAGAATGTACAGAATTAACAAGAGAGGAATCACTTACCTCTGCGGTGATTCACTTTTGATGAATATCCTTATCCAACATCAGCGATATTCGTTGAAAAGAACAAGCTGGGAATACTGGCAAACACAAACACTCCTGCTTTCTGAAAAACGAAACACTATTTAATTACGCACAAAATTCAATTTCCGGCCGACTGCGAACAGATATGTTTGGGTCACATCCCAAATAACACACACTATAATAAATTCGCTGGTTCGGTTCTTTATTAATTCTCATAATTAATTACAGTCACTCATCATGCATATAAAGATATATATATATATATGCATATAAAGATATATATATATATACATATAAATATTTTAATTCGAAAGCAGAAAAGATTACTTTTTTTTCGTAATAGATTTATATAAGAGTGTAATATGAGGGAAAAAATTATCAAATTTTGAAGATGAAATTTGTCTTATGTTTTATAAAAACTTAAACACTTATTTTATTGATCAGTTTAAATGCTGCAGGTTTTAAAAATATTTTTAATTTTGTAAACTCTTACTCTAAATTTCCGGGTAGTCGGATTTGTTTGAATTAATTAGTTAAACCTAACGTATTTAAATTAATTAACAAAAAAGTGGGAATTAATAAGTACCATTGGTTCCGATACTTTAATTCTGTTAACGTGGAGAGTAGTATACCCCCCACTATATGCGGCAAAAGGATGCCGCCATGACGTAATAGAACAAAGGATGACGCAACGGGGGCGTGGCCTCTGCCATATTGGATCACGTGACTTCCATCCGCCATGTTGGATCACGTGACGTCCGCCCGCCATATTGGATCACGTGGTGTTCCTTTGGAATGACTCATCTTTTCCCCGCCATGCCGTGTGTGCTGAATCGCCGAGGCATTCATTAATTTTATTCGGTAAGTATTTATGAAGGATTTAATTAATTATTATTTAACTTACCTAATTAATTTATTAATCACGTGGTCTTTGGAGAACATCGGCCATTTTGTTTTGTACGGTGATTTATGCTGCCCTTCATGACAGTTTTCAAAAATTGCGTGGGCCCGAACCCACGATGTCGAGATCTCCAGCTACGCGCTTTAAACCACTGAGCCACGCTTTTGTTACCACAGAAGACTAAAAATTCGTACTTAGAAAAAAAAAAGGCAAAGCGTTCAACGAGTTTACCGATCGAAAAGTTTCTTTTAAACGATGAAAGAGGGGTAGAAGACATATATTTTAATTTCTTAATTTTTTTTTCGAACATTGATTACCTTCTTTAAGATATTATAAAGATTATTTTGTGCTTAATTTTTAATTAATATTTTCAATTTATCAAATGAATTTTTTTTCTTCTAAGTGGGTGACATTATTTTCGAATGGAAGAAATTTTTTAAAATTATTTATTATCTGCAGGGAAAGAGTTAAAATGATATTTTTAAACATCTGTACTGATTTTCTTGAAGCTATGTTACTGCTGGCGCCATCTAGCGTCCAGAACATCATCTAAAAGTAACAGGATCGTAAAATAAAAAAGTATGAAAAGGTAATATATTTTCATTCCAAAGGGATTCGAACTTGCTATCTTTCAATAATTAACTAAAAAAGGAATTGAGGGGCACCGCATCCAAGTCTCTAAGCGATACCCCACAATTCCTTGGCAGATAAAGCTCTTAATTATGTACATGAGGTCCTGCGTCGCCATCTTGGATTTCTGCTATAGCCGCCATTTTGAAGAATTTTCTTTGTGGGTAAATGACGTCACCCTTATCATGTTTGTGCATGATTTGGTTGGGAAATGGCGTCAGCCTTTTCACTCCCTTCGTGTAGACATCCGCGTAGGTGAACGAATACATTTCTGTGGACCAATCAGAAAGCAGAAAAATGATGTCATGCCCTCTTAACCAATCCGCGTATTCAGACAAAGTAAAAAGTTCGGAGCCGAGTTTCAACCGCTGGATTGCCTCCGAAATTCATTACTTGCTAAATTCTAGAAGTTTGTTACCACGCTTTTTGAAAAAACAAGAAATTCTCTTCGTATCTGCGAAAATGGCTTCAAGAAACAGTAAACGTTCTTTGGAACCCTTTTTTGATCAAGTAAGTATTCATATTTAAAATTTATTTTATTTATTTTTATTTTATTTATATATAAAATGTATTAAGGTTATTATGTGTTTAATTTTATTATTTTAGTGTTTTGTTTTTTTTTCTTTGACCACGTGCCTGTAATACTGACACGCAATTAAAATTTTTTGTAGTGTGAGGATTCCGATGTATCTGTAAGAGATTCTAATGATCAAGTAAGCTAAATTTTATTTATGTGTTTTATTTACACTGCTTAGATTTTTTTATTATATTTTACCCTGTTTTGTTGAAACACGTGTTTGTAATATTAACGTTTCAAAACAGTTATATCGCCATATTATTTTCAATTGTTCTTTGACCACGTGTTTGTAATACTTACATGATTAAAAATACTATTATTTTTATTATTTTGTGGTGTGAGGATTTCCATGCGCTTTTAAGAGATTCTGATGATGAGGTAAGCTAGTTTTATTTATTTCCTTCTGTGGCTTATTTTTACAATGTATAGTTTTTTGCCCCACCTAGAAAAAGACTATTCACTATTTTTAATTTATTTAGTGCCTGAGTGAAACATCTCAAATATTCATCGAAAATCCTATTGACGGCATTGAAAATTATTTTAGTGATTCAGGAGATGAAGTACGTTGCTTTTTTTTTTTTTTCCCTGTCATTAATTTTTTTTGTATTTTTTTATATAAGCTGAACCTAAATTTCTTTAAACACAACTGTTACTTTTCTTTAGCTCTTAAGTGAAACTTCGCAGATATTTTTGGAGAATCCTTTGGTTTTGCCTCTTTACTATCAAGTAGGCTCGGGATATGAGGTAATATCAGTTTTTAATATATATATAAATATATATGAGAATTATTTTTTTCTATGTTTTTTATGTTTTTCTATGTTTGTTATGTTTTTCATATCACTGTGATGTCTATACATCTTTTAGACTCAACCTTCTGCTCCATCTAAAGGACCTGCATATGTGGAACATGACATTTCAGTAAATGTGAGTTTTTCTCCTGTTTTAGGGCTTATGGTGTGTTTGCGTGTGTGCTTATTTTCATTTACACTGAATTATGTTCTTTTCTTTCCAGATGGAAAATGCTATTATACTCAAAGAGAAGGCACGGCGTCGTAACCGAAAGTATCAAGGCGAGGAAATAACCTTCCAGGCACGTGTTGATATGAATCGTCTGCCTCAAAATATTCGCAACAGGCCTCTTCTAGCCGTAACTGAATCTGTTAGACAGCTGTTTGAAATATTAATTCAACGGTCAACAGAAAATCTAAGGCCGACAGATTGGATACGAATGTGTATCCAAGCCGATGGATTGGATAAACCCATGTCTACGAAAATTATTGCCGTATCTTCCATGACGGTGGAGACCGTATTATCGGTTATTATGAAAGTTCTGCAGTCAAAAGATGAAATTCGGCTGGATTCAGGCTTCCTAGTAGATGTGTGATCACGATTCGCAGGGATATCGGTGCAGGTAGAGCAAAGATAATCAACATTCAAGTAGATCGTCTTAAAAAACGCTCTGTCCTTTCCATCCCGTCAGATGATGAAGGGTTGTGTTGCGCAAAAGCAATCGTATATGCCCTAGCTTATCTTGAGCAAGACAAGTCAGCGCTTAATTCTCTACGGGATCGGAGACGATCTGTTCTAATGCTACGAGCTCAAGAATTACACAAGTGTGCTGGAGTTCCTCTTGGTCCTTGTACATACACTGAAATCTGCACATTTGAAAATCATCTAAATATACAAATCGTAGTAATAAGCAGTGAAAATTTAAATAAAGTAAGCCAAAGATTTTAAACAAAAAAAAATTAATTAAATTGAAAAAAAAAATGTAAAATGAAATTATATTTATAAACTGTTTATTTCTAGGTCTCGTATAAAGGAAGATATCGAACTCGTCGCATTAATTTGTGGCAACACAATGGCCATTTTGATTGTGAAAGATTGCGAAAATTGTGAAAAGCCATATGACCGTCCAGAAGATCACAGGTGTGACAATATGTGCCATGTCTGCCTAAGATTTCAATGCGTTCCAGCATTGCCTAAAAGATGTAAAGATTGTGATCGCCTCTGTCAATCTGAGGACTGCTTTGCAGCGCATAAAGCCGTCACAGGTAGACAAGAGCATTCAGTATGCGATAGGGTAAGTATTACTCAACTAGGGGAAAAAAAAAGTTTTTAATACTTACATTTTTAAAACGTTTTTTTTTTTTCTAAATATATTTTTAAAAAATCTTTGTTCTACTTTTTTTTTCCTAATTACAGATGTATCAGTGCAGACAATGCTCAAAAGTTATCATGCGACGGCAGTGTCCTAAAATTTTACATCGTTGCGGGACTATCAAATGCCCTTCGTGTAAAGAGTATGTTATAGCGTCAGAACATCATTGTTTCTTACAACTCATTTCTGCGAAAAGTCCATCCGATAAATTAATTTTCTTTGATTTCGAAACTGACCAATCATCAGGGGAACACATCGTAAACTTTGCTGTAGCGCAGTACAAAGATGGCCAAGTGAGTGAGTGAGTGATTATGGCGCAAAACCAGACATGATTATGACGCGCCAAACAAAAGATGAGATGATTACAATTGATGACATTAAAATTCAATAAATAAAAACAAGTAGATAAATGTACCAAATCCAGAGGATGAAGTCATATAAAACCAAGTTAAAAGCACATATTAAAATTCAAGAGACAGTCTTCAAAACAAATTACATTTGGTAATAAAAGCCAATCTCTTTTAAATAATAAAATAAATTAGAATTGACCTCTCTTCTTCCGATTAAACGGTCGAGAGGTAAGTCACAGCTATTAAAATATTTTCTGGCGAAGACTATTAAAACATGGACACTCAATTAAAATATGACGAACAGATAAACAAACAGGCTCATTTTCAGCTGCTTTTAAAAGGTAGTTATGTGTCACTCTAGTGTGACCAATTCTGAGGCGAGTCAAAAGAACTTCCTCCTTACGATTTTGGTTAATTCCCAATGCTCAATTCTAGGTTTTACATGTCTTAATTTATTTTGAAGCTGAACATCCCAAAGTTGTTGCCATTTTTTTCGGATCTTTTGTTTCACAACACAACAATGTCTGCAAAAGGGATGAGACGACTGGACAGTTCAACAGCACATTTTGCTGTGATATCTGCCAGCTCATTCCTTTTATTCCCACATGCCCGGGAACCCAGCAGTACAGGATTCATATCCACGATTCATTAAGTTTATATGTATTTTGAGAATATCCACTATTACTGGATTTTGAGTATTAGGAAAAGCTTCTATTGATTTAAGAGCACTATACGAATCTGTATAAATTATAAACTTTTTGTAGCAGAGCCTGGAGATGTATAAAAGACTATAATATATCGCAGTTAATTCGGATGTTAAGACAGAGAAAGCATTGTGCAAGCGTCTGCCCTCCATGTGGTCTTTAATTACATATGCCATCCCCACATGATCTTTTGACTTGGACCCATCTGTATAAACTGGAAGATAACTGCTATATTTGTTCCTGTGCTCAGCGAAGAGTTGTCTGTAAATAATCTCGTTAGTGCTTGCCTTCACATGATACTTAAAACATCAAGAAGCTGAATCCGTGCATTTTCCCAAGGTGGGATTTCAAAATTCTGTACTGCTTGGGGGTGCATATCAGAGAGGGAAAGTTCCTCAATGACAGGGCGAACTCTTAAAAGAAATGTAGGAACACAAGATGGACGTGTTTCAAATAAAGCGTTACTCACATCATCAAGTAAGCACAGCTTATTGGGATGTTCAGGTTGGGATAGATATTAAAATATTGCAAAAGGGACAATTGTTCACGCCTCAGATAAAGTGATGGTTCATTACAGTCAACATACAGGCTCTGGACAGGAGAAGTCCTGAAGGCTCCTGAACATATCCTCAAACCTTGATGGTGAACAGGATCCAGTTTTAACAAAACAGATGACCGAGCGGATCCATAAACAACTGAGCCATAGTCCAGTCTAGAGCGGATAAGCGCTCTAGACTGGTAAATGCGAAGCATGGAGCAACGCTCTGCACCCCAGGAGGTGTTCGCCAACACTTTTAAAATATTTAGTGTTTTGAGACACTTCTTTCTCAGGTTTAAAACATGAGAAAGGAAAGTCAATTTTTGGTCGAACGTTACTCCTAAAAATTTTACTTCGGGCGCAACTGGAATAATTTCTGTTTCGAAAAAGTAAATCCCTGTTTGTCTGACCATTCTTGGATCTTATTCAGAGCCATCTGCAATTGCCTCTCTATGTATCTCATGTCTGCTCCTCGACAGCTAATCTGTAAATCATCTACATATAGTGATCCTAAGATGGTGGAGGAAGTTCTTTTAATACAGAATTTATTTTTTTTAAACTGAACAGCGTTACACTAAGCACACAGCCTTGAGGCACACCCTCTTCCTGTTGAAAAACATCCGAAAAAACAGAGCCAATCCTTACTTGAAAAGTTCTAGCGTTCAAGAAATTCTGAATATGAAAATTGGTAGGTTGCCGCGCAAGCCACTCTCGTGAAGATCCCGGAGTATACCGTATCTCCATGCCTTATCATAAGCTTTCTCAATCAATGTCGAAGAATATTGAGACAAGGTGACTTCTTCTGACAAAGGCTTTTCGAATAGATGTCTCTAAGAGAAGCATATTATCTACGGTCGTTCTCCCCTGTCGAAAACCGCTCTGATAAGGCGATATAATATTATTCTTTTCCAAGAAGTAGACTAGGCGGCTGTTTACCATCTTTTCAAACAGTTTGCAAACCAAACTGGTAAGGGCAATTGGCCGATAGTTCGAGGGATTCCTCAGTTCTTTCCCTGGCTTCGCAATAGGAATGACAACAGCTCTCCTCCACTGGGAAATGTACGCTCCTTCCACACTCTATTGTAAAGTGTGAGAAGGGCACTCAGTGACTTATAGGACAGATGCTTTAGCACTTCATAATACACGCCATCAAGACCCGGAGAAGACCTATGTGTCTGCAACAAAGCTCTCTTTAATTCAACCATAGTAAAGTCTCTATTGTATGGCTCAATCTTGGAAGAGTTGAAAGCGATGGGATTTTTCTCAGAGCGTTGCTTGATAGAAAGAAATGCAGGTGAGTAATTTCGGCTGGAAGAAACGGCAGCAAATGTCTCACCAATTGTATTTGCAATTTCTTCTATGGAGCTAATCACTCGGCCATCTTTTTCCAGAAAGGAAAGTGAGTGGTCTTTATACATTCCGCATGCTTTTCGAACTCTTTCCCAAACCCGCGCTTACTAGGCGTAGAGGATGTTATTGAGGACACATATGAAATCCAGGAATCCCTCTGGCTCTGCCTTCTTACTTTCGTGCATTTGCTTTGGCTCTTTTAAAAGCTATGAGGTTTCGCAGAGTAGGATATCTACGAAAAATACCCCATGCTTTTTTCTGTTTTTTCAGTGCTTCATGACAGTCGCGATTCCACCATGGTTTTGAATATTTTAGTGTTTTTCCTGATGTTCTAGGAATGGAGAGCATAGCTGCCTGAATAATAGTATTAGTAACAGCTTCAACAGCGTCATCGATATGCGCATCTTCTACCATTTCATCTGTGAGCTCTGCAATGGAAGAGAAGAGTTCCCAGTCTGCCCTGTCCAGTATGAATCGAGGGGATCTCGACATGGGGTTTGCTCCTCTTCGTGCAAGAGACACAAAATAGGATAATGATCGCTGTTGTACAGGTCATTTCCGACACTAAAAGTGCAAAATGGCAACAGAGATGGTGAACAGATGGCAAGATCGAGAGCGTGGAATGTCCTTGAAGGCTCATGGAAGTATGTATCTTGCCCATTATTTAGGAGACAAAGGCTGTGATCTTCGATCATCTGCTCAATTTGTCTTCCTCGGCAATTTGTATCTTTGCTACCCCAGAGTGGACTATGGCCGTTAAAATCTCCTATTATAATAAAAGGCTCAGGCAGCTGCTCTATTAGATTATTTAAATCTTGCTGATAAATGTGCTCATTTGGAGGCAAATACAAAGAAACAAATGAAACAACAATATCAAAATTTATTTGAGTAGCGACAACTTGGAGGGATGTCGTCAAAGAAAGTACATTTGAGGGATAATCCAGTGAGGAGAGGAGACCTACTCCTCCACTGGCACGCTCACCTGCAAGGTTATCCTTCCTGACGAAAGAAAACCTCCGAAGTTTTGCATGGTGTTCTGGTTTCAGATTTGTTTCCTGTATAGCTAAGCACACAGGATGATACGCATTTATAATAGATTTGATGTCAAGCAAATTTCGGTGGAAACCGCGACAGTTCCATGACACGAGGGTGGCCATTATGAATGGTTTTTGTTTTTTCTGTGCTGTTCTTTTGTTTTTCGTGGAAGTAGATGCCTGGGAAATTCCAGACCCTCTTCCACTTCCATAAAGTCTGAATCCGCAGATTCAGAAATCATGTCATCAAGAGAGCTATTGCTGCGACTTCTATTTTTATTTGATATTTTTTGTGTGGCAGTTTTCGGCTTACTTTGAATAATTGTTTCTTTCTTTTGTACTATATGAGTTGCATTTTCTTTTTCTTGTTGGATGTAGACGGTTGGGTTTTATTTGGTAGGGTCTGTGTGCCTATTGATGTTTGGGTGGCGACTGTACGATATGATTTAACAGCACTGGCGTATGATGAATTTGGTCGAAGCTGTGTGCTCTGGACTAGTCTTCTGGCTTCGGCATAAGAGATGTTCCTAGTAACTTTTGCAGTCTGCACTTCTTTTTCCGATTTCCATTTTGGGCAGAAGGCGTGAAAATGCTGGGTGCTCACCCTTGCAATTTATACACAAAGGCGCAGCGGTACAATTTCAGAATCGTGGCCAATCTGTGAGCATCGGGCGCATGTGAGGCTGCCACGACAAGACGTCTTAGAATGGCCGAAACGCTGGCATTGGAAACATCGCATAGGGTTTGGAATATAAGGTCTTACAGGAATATTTAGATATCCGGCCTTAATATTCTTAGGCAGATCAGGCGTGTTGAAGGTAAGGATCACGTGTTTCGTGTCTATCAACTTACCTTCTTTACGCATCTTGATCCGCCTTACACCGCAGACATTTTGTTCGGATAGCTCAGAAGCGATCTCTTCTTCTTCAAACATACAGAAGGTCGAATTCTGAGATTACACCACGACAATAGTTCAGTGACTTATGTGGTGTTACAGTGACATTCGCTTGCCCAAGTTTAGTAATCTGAAGTAAAGAAGCAGACTGGGTGGCTGAGTTTTGTATCAATAAGCAAGTCTCCGGAGCGGAGACGCTTTATGTTTCTCGGCTCACCAATACAAGACTGGATGTATTTATTTATTACGAAAGGAGACATCTTATGCATTTCGCCAGAAGGACTAGAGATGACTAGGAAACGGGGACTATTGTGATGATTTTTTTTATTTGCATCTGTCCGTAATTTTTTTGCAGAATTTTCAGAACTAGGTTGAGTGAACAGGTTGAGTGACTGGTTTAGTAGTAGACGTTTCAGAGCTAGGTTGAATGATTGGTTTATTAGTAGATGGTTCAGAGCTAGGTTGAGTGACTGGTTTAGCAGTATACGTTTCAGAACTAGGTTGAGTGACTGGTTTAGCTGTAGACGTTTCAGAAAGTTTGAATGACTGGAGTTACCTCGAAATCTTTAATTAAGTAGATATGAGAAGAAGCCATAGTGAAAGAATAAAGATTCGGGTCCGACGGCCCCGCCCACCACGGAGCCCAACAAGGGAACACAGATTCCTGTGTTAGGGCTAGCCGGACCTATACGCAAACTGAAGCCCCACAGTCGGCTTTCCCGAAAGCAGGTACTCCCGAGAGCTTGACCCCAAGCCACTGACACAAGGACTAGTGACCAGCCGATTGACACTCGTGAGGACGACTAAGGTGCCTCCCGTTTAGCTGAAGCAGAGGCCAAAGTAGTGTGTTGGGGACAGTACCTCGCCCCTCAACTACCAGGACCCTCCTTTCCAGCGACACGGGTCTCCACGCACGGCAAACACGTGGGCAGTTTTCTCGCCACTCGAAGACTAGAGACAAGGTCTGTTCCAGTCTCTCGTGACGAGCCCCAAACTCCGTAGAGAGAAACCACGAGGGAGAAGGAAGGGAAAAAGTTCCATAGATCACTGGGGCTCCAGGATCGTGATGAAGATGATCCCCTGAAGGGCTAGGGTACCTCGCGTTGGCCAGAGAAAATATTAAAGGATACGAAGCATGTCATGAATTCTGCTCTTGGCTGTTTACAACAGTGCACAAAAATTACACTGTTATTGCACACAATATGAAGGGGTAAATGTATTCTTATTATTTTTAATCTGCATATATATATTATAGGGCTATTGTTTTAAATATAATACATTTTTTAAAATATAATAATTTTTTTTTCTTTACAGATTTGACGGTCAGTTTATAATGGCATGGCTTTTAGAACAGGGTACGGCACCTGAAGTAATCCCTAATGGCTCTAAAGTGATGGTAATCACCCATACCGCCCTCAACATAAAACTTATTGATTCTTTTAATTTCCTGCCGATGGCTCTCTCAAAGCTGCCTGCTTGTTTCGGCCTTACAGAACTAAAAAAAGGATATTTTCCGCACCTTTTCAACAAGAAAGAAAATCAAAATTATGTGGGATTTTTACCTGAGCCTAAGTACTACAATCCTGATTGTATGACTAGTGCGGTGCGAACCTCCTTTTTGGAATGGCATAAAGAACACGAGAAGGATATATTTGATTTCCAAGAAGAAATTCTCACGTATTGCCGGTTTGTATCAACAATCTATTTCTAATCCTTCATTATGATCCGTCTTTTAGGTGTATTTTTTTTTTTTGGTACCATGTTTTATTTATTTATTTACTCTTTTCGTTTTCAGATCAGATGTTGATATCCTTCGTAGATGTTGCGTTGAATTTAGAAATCAGTTTTTAGAAATTACAGGAGTAGACCCCTTTTGGTATTTTACAAACCTTTTCTTTTACATGGTTTTGTCATTTTGTAACAACGTATTGTATACGTGCATGTATACTTTATGTATATATGATTTACACTTTTCTTGTCCGTTTTATTTTCAGTTACATAACCATTGCATCAGCGTGTATGGCGGTTTACAGATCCCGACACATAATACCTAATACCATCGCAATGATACCTGTAGGAGGTTATATCAATCGCACGAATCATAGTCCTGACTGTATTCGTTGGCTTGATTTTATTGCCCAAAAAGAGAGCATTGAAATCGAACACGCTTTGAACGGAAAAGGAGAAAGACGATTGGATGGTATATCTGTAGACGGATATTGCAAAGAAACAAATACTGTTTATCAATACTACGTAAGAGTTCAATATTTATTTATTTATAAATATATTATTTAATTTATTTATTTATTGGTATTATACGAAAAAATTTTTAACTATCGCAGGGATGTTTCTTTCACGGTTGCTCCACCTGTTTTGACGGAGATGCACTCCACCCCATAACAAAATTACCCATGTCGACATTGCGACAACAAACGGTAGACAAGACTTACCAGCTACGTGATCGAGGGTATAATGTAATGAAATGAAATGTGGGAGCATGAGTTTGAGATGAAAAAGAAAACAGATGAAAAAGTAAAATATTTTCTTCTAAGTCACGAGCTTCAGGATCGATTGAATCCTAAAGATGCTTTCTTTCTTCGGCGGGCGGACAAATGCCATTCAGCTGTATTATGAGGGTGATGCAAAGTATGTGGATTTCACTTCACTGTATCCATGGGTAAATACTTTTTTTTCTGTGTTTTGGCATAAAATAATCTTATTAAACGCGCATGTCTTATTTAAAAAGAAAATCGCTTTTCCGATTATTCATATTTTTTCAATTTTTCCTAGGTCAATAAATACTGTTTGTACCCCGTCGGACACCCTAATATTATTACTGAAAATTTTGATGCCTTGGAAAACTATTTCGGTATTATAAAGTGCCGAATACTGCCTCCTCGAGGTTTATACCTCCCCGTATTGCCGTACAGAGCACAAAATAAACTGATGTTTCCCCTCTGCAAGACTTGTGCTGAATTAATGTATCAAGGCATTTGCCAGCACTCAGATGATGAGAGAGCCATCATTGGCACATGGGTGACTGAAGAAGTCAAATTAGCAGTGAAAAAAGGTTACTGTATAACAAAGGTAAGTATTTTGGGTAATTATTAGTATTATTGAATGTGTTATAAATGTCACAGCATGTATTTTTATTGTATACTAGTTGTACCCGCCCGGCGTTGCCCGTGCATTTAGAAAATGCAGATAAGTGAATAGCGCAGGAATAGTAGTGTAGGACATGTAGACTGTCTCTCTCTCTTCCCCCCCCACAAGCTACAAAAAAGAAATGAATTGTAATTAATCGATTTAATGTATCGTCAAAACAGCAAACTAACGCTAGAATAAAGAAATCAATTGTTACAATCGAACGTTATTTGAAAACAAATAATAATATCAGTGAGTCAAAAAAACCGTGATTAATTAATTATAAATAATTTTTTTAAAATTTTTCTAATTCAAAAATCGAAAATCGGGCTTCGAGGTCTGGTGGCCAGCCCCTTTGTGCTTCCGTATAAAAAATTCCAGGTCCCTGCGTGCGATAGATTTGGCTGGAGAGCTCGGTCAGACAGACAGACACATTACACTTGCTTATTTCTTAATTTATGTTACTTTTTCTCAAACGGATACTTATTTCAATCTTATATCAACTTGTTTTTAAAAATAAAACAAGAAAGCAGCGGCTGGCCAGCCGATTGTGTAAGCTCGACCGAACGAAAACGCTACATTGAAGCCTATTTTGAGCGAGAGGGTGTGCAGCTTGATGAATTTAATATTAAGAAGAATCCTGGAAGACGGCAAGTAGCCAAATTGGCTTTGAACAGCTTCTGGGGGCGGTAAATAATTATTATAATGTTTTTAATAGAAAGAGTTGTTTCACATCTTTATATCATTTATTATTTCTTAAAAAAAATGCTCATTCTTTTCTTATATATTTTTTTTCTTTAAAGATGGGGAATGAACCTGAACAAGATACGTTTGACTTATGTTCATACATTACCTGATTTCAATAAATTATTAGCAGATCCAACAAAAAATGTAAGTTTTGTAATTTTATTTTCTAATGTAAATTAAGATGTATATTTTTAAATGATTAATCTTGCAACCTGCTAACTTTTCCTCCAGATCAAAGACTTATATTTTCCGACTCCTGAAGTAGCTGCTGTGCAATGGGACTATAAACATTATTTTGTTCCACAGGACACATCCACAAATGTGTTCTTGGCAGCTTTTACTACTGCATGGGCACGGTTAAAGCTTTACAGTGAAATGGAGAAGTTGGGCCGTGCTGTGTTGTATCATGACACGGATTCAATTATATACGCAAGCGATTTTACCAACGATCCGCCTCTTGGTAATTTTTTGGGGGATTTTACAGATGAACTCAATGGAGATACTATTACTACATTTGTCTCTGGTGAGCTTCATTTTTATTTTTATTTTTTATTAGGTTGATCTTTTATTCTTGTAGTTTCTGTAGCATATTTTTTCCCCCATTCAGGAGGCCCTAAAAATTACGCTTATGTAACAGCCCGAGGAATGACTTGCTGTAAAGTTCGAGGTTTCTCCCTCAACTTCAAAAATCAACAGATTTTAAATTTTTTGGAGATTAAGAATTTAGTGTGCTCGATGGATCGAAAAACAACAATCGCCATGTACGATGAACATAAAATCATGAGAGATGCCAAAAAGAGGAAAGTTTTAACTAAGGCAGAAACAAAACTGTACAAAATTGTTTACAACAAAAGAAAAGAAGATCTAACTACTGTTCCCTATGGATTTTAAGTGGTCATCTCATTTATTTTATTTCATTGCAGGGTTATTGTTGAATTAATGTTAAAAAAAATTATATTTTGCAGTAAAATTTTAAAATTGTGTGGTTGACTTTTTTTCTTTTTTTTTTCTTAGCCTTTTCTTAAACGAGAGGAGTATATAAAGCTTCACACATTTCTGAAGATCATCAGTACCCCACAAAATGGAGTGGCCTGTGTTGAAACACCCTTCCACATCTCTCATCAGCGGTCCGACAGGATCCGGTAAGACATATTTTGTGAAACGAGTCATCGAAGAAAGTCTGCTTTCTCCTATGCCTCAGCGTATAATTTATTGCTATGGAGCATATCAACCTATTTTTAGTAAAATGAAAAATGTGCAGTTTGAAGAAGGACTACCATCGAACCTCAATTCCCTGCAAAATGCACTAATTATCATTGATGATTTAATGTCTGAGTTAGCGAGCGATACTCGTTTAAGTAAACTTTTTACGAAAGGAAGCCATCACCGAAATCTTTCTATAATATTTATCGTTCAAAATTTATTTCAGCAGGGTAAAGAGATGCGAACCATTCATTTGAATTGTCATTACATGATACTGTTCAAAAATCCTAGAGATAAATGTCAAGTCGTACATTTGGCAAGGCAGATGTTCCCCGGGAAAACAAAGGCTTTTCAGGAAGTCTTCCAGGATGCAACTTCAAACCCTTACAGTTATTTACTAATAGATTTAAGACCAGAAACCCAAGAAATGTTAAGGTTACGTACAGGCATTTTCCCTTCAGATAAGCATTTTGTTTATGAACTCCGTTAGTTGCTGTTGCACTCAACAAGTTTTCTCCTTCAGTGATTTAATTTGTAGGTTTTTTAAAATTTAAAACTCTCTTTTACATTGTAAAAGAATAAAATTTGCCACACCGAATTTTTTTTTTTTTTTTTTTTTTGAAAATTAGATTATTTAAAAAATGTCCTAAAATATAAGATCTGCACAAAAAGCGGTTGCTTATGCGACCTTTATAAAAGAGAAGGAATTGTTAAAGTACCAATCATTTGAGGTCCAGATGTCGAGCCTGGAACATCTTAAACTCCTAGGCAAAAGTAAAGTAAAAAAAAACTCTTCTAAGAAAATGTCCCAATAGTGTTTTATTAAAGTGTATGTGAATGTGCTTTAAATGTATTACAGGGTAACGTTCCTTTGTCTAAAAGACAGAAACGTAAACTGGCCGTATATAAACGGACTTTGCGTACATTAGGTGATAAAAAGATACCCTTATTTAAAAAACGGAGACTATTGGTACAAAAAGGTGATGGATTTCTTTCGTTGCTCATTCCTGCCGCAGTTTCTGTACTGAGCACATTAATTAATGGAGTTCGCTCGTAAATTTATCCTTGTACCCTCGGATCGAGAATTAGAATTTGCTGAAAACCATTTATCAGATTTAGATCAGCAAATGAGCACCATTTTAAACGAGAAGTTATCCGAAGATGAAAAAGCCAAGCAATACCTTCAAATACTTCAAAAATATGTAACATTTCCCCAATTAAAATCAGAAACACAAGAAAGTGTTCAGCTTAGCAAAGAAGAAGAGAAAAAGTTTACCATGGAAGAAGAAATTGTGAATTCCGCTCCAGTGAAATTTAAGAACATTGCCAAAAGAATTATAGACTTTTTAAAACTTCACAATGATATTATTACATGGACTCCATCTAAAGAATTAATCATGAACCAAGTTAAAATTAATAATTCTAATGTTCAAGACTTGGTGAATTATTTGTTAAGAAATCAACAGACCAAGCCTGTAGGTTATGAAGAGTTTAAAAAATTCTTAGATGTTGTAGATTTTCCCAGGGAGTTTGTAAAAAACAAGTATCTGTTTACAATGTATGCTAAACCTAAATGTGTAAAAAAGAAAAGAAAATTGTATTCAACTTCTTGGATAAAATATTAAATAAAAAGAAAGATATTAGTTAAATTTGGTGTGTTTTTATGTGTGAAAAAATATTTTTTTAATTTCAGGTTGAAAAAAAAATGATCCAGATTTTTTTTTTAAAGGTAAGTTTTTTTTCCTTAAAAAATGTGCAGATGTCATGAGTAAAATAAATCTTTTTTTTTCCAGTAATTTACAATGGAAAATAATTTTTAAGCTTAAATGAAACCTTTAAAATTTATTCTATAACTAAAAGGTAAAAGAAAAGTTATTTAAGAAAATTGTAAATTGCACTTTATTAATAAGAAAGACAAAACTAAAATTCCAAGCAAATTAATATTTTATTTCTTAAAAATCATTTTTACACCATACCTTTTCTTCACAAAATGAAATACATGAAAATCGCTATTTCTTACAGAAAGATTAGATACAATTGATTCCAAACATAATCCTTGACATCGTTTTAACAAATAATAAGTACAATATTGTCCACAAACATTTGATGTTACACTCTGAAGAGAAACTTGATTCCATGTCACACAGTTAAACTTGCTAGTAAATTTTGCTATGTCATCACCATAAGTCATGGGAGGAAGTCCATAAGAATCGAAAAATTCTAAAGTCTGATTATTTTCAATGAAGAAAGCCAGCCAGTGCGTCCCTTTCTCGTTGTGTTTATCAGTGTTGACTACAATAGCTGCTGGGAAACGATGAACATCTGGGATTTTATCTGAAGGGAAAACTCCAGTGTAGTACTTTGCTGTCCATTTGTCATGAGAGAGTATTCTATGAATTTCTGAAGAATTCATTAGTTACCAAAATCGTAGATAATATTTCTAGATTTATTGATTTCTATTAAGTTTTCAAATTCTGCATAGACTATTAACGATGTTGTTATTGGCAGAGGGAAACCGAATTTTACCTCCAGTCTCAAATTACTATGACGGACTAAATTCAAGTGAGAACCATCACACAAGTCAGGTGATAGATCGAAAAGAAATAAGCAGTATCCTTCTGGATACTCTGATCTCGAAAGATACAATCCTCGGTTTTCTGCATTGGCAAATAAATTCTGATAAGCACGAATAAAGGTTTTATTCATGAAATCAGGTTGAAGAGGATTGTGAGGCATAGGTTGCCCATCTACGTAAATGCCAATAAAATTGATATGATTGTGCTTAAATTCGAAGGGAGATTTTTTATAGTTTCCGTTGAAAGCATCATTATCGACACAAGCAACAATTAAGCGTTTAGGCATCTGGCCCGTAAAAATACTATCTTGAACAAAACTCATATTTCCTGATGGAATGGAATACACTTTGCAAAGCACTCGGTTGATAGGATATTTCGCTGTCGCTTTTTCTAAACTTTTTGCATGCCCTAAAATTACACCTGGACTGACTCGAACTTTGCGTACAAATAATGAGGCATGTTCCAATGACACTTTAAAATTCCCCTCCCCCAGTAAACAAAATTCCGGTTTGCTGCGGATAAGTTTAATTTTCATATCGACCATGTTCAACAAAAGTCTTTCTTGATGAAACATATCTAGATGTAGCCGTCCAATCATATCCACTGTAGCACTAAGTTTAAATTCTTCTGCTCTTTTATTGAATCCCTCATTAGGTTGCTTATCCGCAGTATCAAAAACATTCATACGGCCTGCTGTATCTTTAAAATATAATTCTGATGATAATTGAGAAGTTTTCGTATCAAAACCATGATTAAGTAATTTTTCTATGATGGCTCTGTAAGGGTACGTGTTATTGCTGGAGGAAATAAGTCTTTATAAGTCTTTCATTTAAGCTTATATCAACTTGAGAAAAGAGGGAGTGCAGAAACAAATTCACGGGTCCCACTTTATCATCTTTTCCGAGAGAGCCGCCATTGCTTTTCAAAATTTTAACTTTGACGTATAACTGAGTTTGAGATAAATCCAAATAGTCATCGCCACTACCCGCGACATTGAATTCGACAGGACTTCCATCCGACACATTCGCAAGGGGATGAAATTCTATCCATTGTCCTCTTTCTATAACTGTTTGGGTTGGAGGTAATGTAAATAAATCGAGTTCAGATTTGGCGCATTCTGGAGAATCTTTTAAGAGGAAAGCCATTATGAGTTGAAAATGTCACGTCTTTGCACTTTCCTGGCTTTAGACGAAATGAAGCGTTTGGGAGATTTGCGTTTCCTTTTAAACTTTCCGTGACCAATCATCTCATCTGCTTTTTGAACTGCTTTCCTTGCTAATTTTTTTCCACTTTCTTTAGATCTGGTTTTAAAGGCTGATTTAAAATTTTCTCCTGATATCACATCGTTTGCAATTTGCGTTCCTGCACGTAGAGCTTCTTTTCCAACAGTTTTTGCTCCCTTAATTAAAAATGGCATGGCACTACGGAAAAGTTTCGCAAAAAATCCACCTATTCCGTATCCTTTCTGTAAAACCATTCCCTGATAATACGGCAGACCTTTTCCAGTTTGTCCCACATAATAATCCTCAAAGTGTTTGGTGCAACAAGCATATGGAATGAGCATTTTTGATACAGCTTTTAGAACGTTTACACTATGAATGAATAATTTTTTCTTTTGGTAAAGCTTTTTATAGAATTTGTCTCAAACGAAAGTGGAGCACTATGAAAACTTTACCTCTTTCAAACGGCACCAGACTCCCCGAATGAGACCTTATTTCGATTTCAATCGTTTGAAAATGTTGGCGAATCACTGGTAAATAAAAAGGTCGAGAGTAATGTTTGTCAATAATCTCTCCGTCTTTCCCTTCCACTGTTACAATTTTCAGAAGGGGGGCTTGTACGTCACCTACGATTTGTGGTTCAACTAAATCACAGTATACATACATAACGGGGAAAAAACCATTCGGATTCGCTACGAAAGGACTTTGGACACTTCCTTCGTAAACACCCGGTTCAAATCCTAAGAGCTCAGCTAGTCCTCCGTGAAGAACCACTTTTGATTGTTCATCCGTCTTTATCATTACTCTTTTCGTAATGTTATGATAAGAAAATTCAATTTTGTTTTTATGAGAAACTAAAGTCATAGCTTTTAATATGTCCGGTATCGTTTCATAATAACCAGGAGGAATATGCCGTCCTTCCAGTTCTCCATTGTGAACAGCAAACCCAAATAAATTATTATCTTTTCCGACATTATACCATGAATGAGGGTAAATAATATTTAGGAGAGCTAGTTCCCAGTCCCCATTACTAAGATCAATAGGAGACGGTAGTTGGGTAATAAATCGAGAAATTTTATTGTCTGGAAAAAATCTCCTAGAGCTATCGCTTATGAGTGTTACGTAGAAGGACATTTTCGCTCAAATGAAAAGTAAAATACAGTACGCATGTTTTTATATCATTTTCAAATTTGAAACCCAAGTATTAAATTTTTCAGGGTAACCCTGAAATTTAACAAAGTATTCTGATTTTCCCCAATGCTTTCTTGTCTTCAGTACCTTTTCGACAGGATAGTACCCACAGTCCGCTACTTTTTGTAATTCTTGTTTATAGAAGGTTCCTTGTATATCTTCTCCCGCTAAATCTCTTAATTTATAGACGATAGGATTTCGACGAATTATTTTATGGATTGTAAAAATTTCTCTTGTCCAATTTTGTTCGTATCCTTTCTCGAAGAGCATTTTTTCGCGGCTGATGCGTACCGTGTCTCCAATCTTTAAATCTGAAGGAACAGGTTTTTGTGCTGATTGCTGACCGTACAAAGTTTTCCAAATTTTTTCTTGATTTTGTAGCGTAACCGATGCAGGTTCTGTCTTAATACTTCGATGCCATGTGTTGTTATAACTGGATATCAATTTATCTATAACATCGATGTACCTTCGTGTATTCATTTCGGTAAAGTATTTCCACATTTTAGTTTTAAGGGTCCTATTAAACCGTTCCACGACAGAAGCTTTTGTATTATTGTGTGTCGTAAAAAAGTGGATATTTTTCTTTTTCAAAAAATTTTGAACTTGCTTATTGGTAAACTCTTTTCCTGCATCTGTCTGTAAAGACTCGGGTGTACGTTCCGAAAATATCTTTTTGAAAGCAGATTTAATGGACACAGCTGTTTTATCTTTGAGAGGGATAGCCCAAGCGTATTTGGAAAAAATATCTATGCACGTCAGTAAATATTTATAACCACTATTAAAAGATACCAGCGATTGCATATCCACTAAATCAGACTGAAATTGTTCGTCGATGCCCCCTACAATGACTCGGTTGCGTTGGAATCTGTGCCGCAGAGGTCTGTGAAGCGTATAAGAATCTTTCGCCTGCAACCATCTTTTGATTTCTTTGCTTTTTACTCCAGAAACACGTTGTAAAGCATTTATACCACCGAAGCTTGCCGGCTGCGCTGGATCCCGATATGTCAGATTCAGAATTTCTGACATTACAACAGGAATTTTTATCAACAGAAAAAGTTATGTTCATCCTCGGGCAAGCACTACCCAAATGAAATGATAAATCAAAGTGAACATTTATTTATACTTTTTTATACCCCGCTTCACCTAATCCTAATAACATCTTTTTTAAAAATATTAACTATTTAGTATTTTCTTAGTTAGAAAATTAAAATTCATGCCGAGTCACTCAAAAAGTATACAATTTTTTTTAAAAAAAACAAAACAATATTTTGAAACAAAAAAGAAAGCAATACAAAAAAGTGAATAAAAACTAATATTTTATTTTATTTTTTCAAAAAGAACTATTCAGTAAATCTTTAAACAAATTAGTTTCTTCACATACATATAAATTTTGAATAATATTCAGTACATCATTTACATTAATAACATCAAAAAAGTCATCAGTAACAATTAGTTTACTAAAATTTATATTACATTCATTTTCACGAATGAAGTCATTTGCTATCTCAGGCCAATTAACTGTAAACAAAGCCTGGTCAAAATAAGTTTCACATTTTTCAGCACGGCTTGTTGATAAGCATTCATGTCCGAGCTGATTATTAATCCCTTGTTTGCAACCAAAACACACAAAAAGTTCTGAAATTTTTTTAGAAATAAATTTTTCAATACACTTACACAAAGAGTCCTGCAGCTCATGAAATCCATTTGGACGGTCTGGATCACCAGCATATTCATTCAATTCAAAATGTGTATCACCAACCACCTGCTTTTTCACAAAATAGTTAAGAGTTTTAGAAATAAGTGTTTCCTTCGCGACACCACATATTTCGCTATATATGGAGTCCAGTTTGCGTAAATGTTCTTTCCTCAACAGAACACGTTCCGGTACAAATTCAAATCGTAAATCTTTTCTTTTGGAACAATCTTTGTAGTGATATAATTAGTTCACCGTTGACATTTTGTTTTGAAACACACACATCTTTCTTCACAATAAAAACACTATCGGAACCTTCAAAGGAAGCAAATGTATTGGTATGATCGCTCAATTCTTTCCATACTAGAGGAGAAAGCGAAACTCCATCTTTGCTAGGATGTAGCAAATCGTTGTCATCAGTCACATATTTCCGAACGTGAACACGAGTCAAACCTAAAAAACACGATACAGTGACAAAAATATCCCCTCCGAGATGAAACATATTCTTTGGCAAAGAATCAAGCTTCAGCAAAGTTTCGTCATATGAAGCACCGCAAAACTTCTTTGATGATAAACATGAATTTGCAGCTAGACGTTTCATTATGCACAACAGTACAACAAAGCAAACACAAAACTAAATAAGCAACGCGTGGTAACAACTTCCAAAATTTAGCAAGTAATGAATTTCGGAGGCAATCCAGCGGTTGAAACTCGGCTCCGAACTTTTTACTTTGTCTGAATACGCGGATTGGTTAAGAGGGCATGACATCATTTTTCTGCTTTCTGATTGGTCCACAGAAATGTATTCGTTCACCTACGCGGATGTCTACACAAAGGGAGTGAAAAGGCAGACGCCATTTCCCAACCAAATCATGCACAAACATGATAAGGGTGACGTCATTTACCCACCAAGAAAATTCTTCAAAATGGCGGCTATAGAGGAAATCCAAGATGGCGGAGCACGGAAAAACCTTATGCAGATAATTAAGAACCATATCAACCAAGGAATTGTGGGGTATCGCTTAAAGACTTGGATGCGGTCCCCCTCAATCCCTTTTTATTAATTATTGGGTGGTAGCGAGTTCGTACCCCGTGAAAAGGAAATATATTACATTTTCATATTATTTTTTTTACGATCCTGTTACTTTTAGATGATGTTCTGGACGCTAGATGGCGCCAGCAGTAACATAGCTTCAAGAAAATCAGTACAGATGTAAAAATATCATTTTAACTCTTTCCCTGCAGATAATAAATAATTTTAAAAAATTTCTTCCATTCGAAAATAATATCACCCACTTAGAAGAAAAAAAATTCATTTGATAAATTGAAAATATTAATTAAAAATTAAGCACAAAATAATCTTTATAATATCTTAAAGAAGGTAATCAATGTTCGAAAAAAAAATTAAGAAATTAAAATATATGTCTTCTACCCCTCTTTCATCGTTTAAAAGAAACTTTTCGATCGGTAAACTCGTTGAACGCTTTGCCTTTTTTTTTTCTAAGTACGAATTTTTAGTCTTCTGTGGTAACAAAAGCGTGGCTCAGTGGTTAAAGCGCGTAGCTGGAGATCTCGACATCG